TTTTTTGGTGGGGGGTCCGGTCATGGGGCCTGAACTCTGGGCCTGGGCGCTGTCCCTCAGCTCTTCAACTCAAGGCTAGCGCTCTACCACTTGAGCCACAGCGCCACTTCCGGCTTTTTTCTTTTTGCTTATGTGGTGCTGAGGAATCGAACCCAGGGCTTCTGGCATACAAGGCATGCGCTCTACCACTGAGCCAACTTCCCAGCCCCAAGATCTAAGAATTTTGATTCAAAGCCAGCCTGGGCAGGCAAATCCACAAGACTCTTTACCTCTAAATAGCCAGCAAAAAGCTAGAAGTAGAGGTGTGGCTCAAGTACTAAAGTGTCAGCTGTGAGCAAACAAGCCAAGTGAGATCACAGAACCCCGAGTTCAAGCCCCAGAACCAGCAAAACAGAAATCAAAACCAAAACAACAAAACACATTCGTGGATAAAGTAAAAAAAAACGAAGCAAATAAATAAAGACTGACAATTCCAAGTAGTTGAGGTGGCAGCCAGGACACTCATCCATAGTTTTTAGAAAAGCATAAAGGGTATAGCTAACTTTGTATAACAATATCAAAGTGATATATAATGATATATATGTTTATATAACATACAAACATGTTATGCATGTTTATGGAATTACTTCACAATTTCACATCTCTCTTATTGACCCAAGAAAAATGACTGCCTATGCCTGCATAAAACCATATACAAATAGTCAGAAAAGCATACTCCAAAAGTGCTCCCTTCATATTTAACAAAATTTATCAAGCTGTACATTTAAAATGGATGAATTGTTTGGAATGAAAATACTGTCTTTAAAAAAAATCCCAGAGGCAGAATGCTTAAGTGTCTTCTACCCTGTGATCCCAGTTCCTAGACTTCATTATTAGAAGCAAGGTCATCCCAGGTACCCGGGCTCCCTCTTGTCTCAGAGCTGGGATCCAACTGACATTGAGCGATTTCCAGTGGGCACTGCAGTGCGTCCCAGCTAAAGACTGGCAGAAACAAGCTTGTGTTCCTAGCAGTAATGATGAAGCCTTCATTGAATTCTCTGCCAGGCCATGTTCAATGTCAGTACACCCATTGAAGAAGAAAACAGATCTATAATGAGCTGTGTGTTATCAGCTCACAAATAATTTATAATGGGCAAACTAGGACAGGAACAGAGCTTTTTTTGGCTAAGGAGGTTGCATGTCACTCTTTAAAATCTAGGCTAAAAAATTATTTATAATGCAGAGACAGTCACCGAGAAAGGGAACAGGTGGGTGCCTTTCTTCTCTCTCGTGTTTGAACATTGTGCCTTTTACCCTGAACTAGCAATGAGGCACCCAGCCTCTTCCTGCCAAACCTGCCTATAGCCAGGAAACCAGGAATGAGGCCTATGCTGGAATCTCTTAATCTAAAAGCCAAGAAGAAACAGGAAGCAGAGAGAAGTCAGAGAAGAAAAGACCTTGAGGAAAGACTCTAGTGTCTGTGCACCTGAAGTAAGCTTTGAGGCTCTGAGAAAAGATCAGGAAATAGTCCAGAATGGGACAGAATTAGGGTAAGGTGAGTTGGAAATGTGTGTTAGAATAAAGACAACTTGTGTTTGAAACTACTGTAAGATGGAATAGGAGAAGCATTAGAACTTACCGGTATAGGTAGGAACTTTTTTGAAGAGTCCCAGAGGTACAGCAGATAGAAGAGAGATTTTGACTTAATGGGATTACATCAAAGTCAAAAGTTTCAGCACAACAAAGGACACAGTTACTAAACTAGAAAGATAGCCAACAGACTGGGAGAAAATCTACGCTAGCAATTCATCCAACTAAGTCCTAATGTCCAAAATGTATAAGGAGCTCAAAAAACTAACAACCCCCAAACTAATAAACCAATCAATAAATGGGTAAAAGAGCTAAGAAGAGACTTCTCAGAAGACATAAGAATGTCATATAGACATCTGAGGAAACACTCAATATCTCTGGCCATAAAGGAAATGCAAATCAAAACAACATTGAGATATCTAGATTGGTCAATATGAAGAATTCAAACAACAAGAAATGCAGAGAAAAAAGAATACTATTGCACTGTTGGTGGAGTTTTGGAGGTTCCTCAAAATACTAACCATAGAATTTCCCTGTGACCCTGCCATGCCACTCCTGGGCATTTATCCAGATCATTACAGAATATGGTAAAAAAAAAACAAACAAAAAAAAAAAACATTTGCACATCCATGTTTATTGCTGCGCTATTCACAATAGCCAGGTTAGTGAAACAACCCAAATGCCCTACAACAATACAATGTACATATATACAATGGAATTTTACTCATCCATTAGAAAGAATAAGAGGTCATTTGCAAGGAAATGGATGAACCAAGAACAAATTGTGCTAAGTGAGGTAAGCCAAACTCAAGAGAGACAAACAAGTGCATGTTTTCTCTCATATGTAGAAGGTAGATCTAAAATATAACTAGACATGATAACTTATACAGGCATTTACACACAAACAGACTAAAGGAGGATACCCTTAGAAGAGGAACACAAAGGTATAACTACAAATACTAGTTATTGAAACGAATTGATCTATGTAACTTGTGAGTAGAGATGGGAGAGGGGGAAACTAGGGGAAAGTAAAGGAAGGTGTAACATTGTCCAAAAAAAAAAAAGAAATATACTCATCACCTAGCTAATGAAATGGCCACCCCTCTTTATAACACCTTAATAATAACATTAAAATTGTAAAAGAAAAAAAGCTTGGTGGTGTGTGGCAGGCAGAGGCGAGCATCGGGTGTGGCCATTGAGCCATCTTAGGAAAGGATATTAGCCTGTATGATTTCCCTGTGACTTGGAGAAGCAGTCTTTATTGATGCTGAGGCCTGGAGATCTTCATACCTCCCCAAAGAAGGTATCAAAATACCTTCCACCATCTACCAACACCTTCTATACAAACCACAACTTCTCTCTTTGCCAGGAGCCTCCTGATGAGGGACTGGTTCCCCTACGAACCTTGACCCCAGGCCTTGGATCAAAAGATAGAGCACAGGAGATGATGGTGCTATCGAACCCTTATCCCCTTGGTTTTTTTCCTATTTTTTATTGTTGTTATAAAGGTGATGTACAGAGGAGTTACAGTTACATAAGTCAGGTAATGAGAGTACATTTCTTTTTGAACAGTGTCACCTCTTGTCTCCTCTCAATGAGCTGACTTTCTGGGACAAGCCTATCTTGGATGTTTTAGGAAGGAATAGGCTATTTTTCCCAGCTGTATACCACCTAGGGATAAGCTGACTGTTGACAAAGAGACCTTGGTATGTTATCCAGGAGAGGTTGAAGGACTCCATCATGATTCTGTGTGTGTGTGTGTGTGTGTGTGTGTGTGTGTGTGTGTGTCTGTCTGTCTGTCTCTCTCTCTCTCTCTCTCTCTCTTGTCTGCATGTCTATCTTCTGTCTCTCTCTGTCTCTGTTTTACAGAGCTAGAAACATGTGCATCCTAGGCAAGCACTCTGAAAATAAGCTATATGCCTGGCCTGGTCAGGTGTTTCTTTTGGTTGTCAGAGCAGCCCTAACTCCATCTTCCCCCAAAATCTCCTCATCTCTTATTCTAATTCCTAAGAAGCCTAGAATACCTCTTATATGACCTGGTAACTTAGGAAAGGTTTTCTCACCCTCATTGACAGCTTTGCAGTTATCTTTTCTATAGGCACAGAGTATAGGATGGGATTTCTTAAACAGACTTCATGTTATAGAGGAATTTGAGGTTCACAGCAAAATTGAGAGCCTCCCCCCCACATACACACAGCCTCCTCCCACTGCCAATATGCCCTGCTTGAGTTGGCACTCTGTGTAGAGTTGATGAAGTTCATTGACATGTCAGAGTCATCAAAGGCCATAGTTTGAATTAAGACTTGCTCTTAGTGCTGTACGTTCTGTGGGTTTGACAAACATATAATAGCATACCCCTCCCTCTGTAGTATCCTACAGACAGTGTCATTGCTCTCATGGCCCTCTGTATTCTGCCTGTTTATCCCTTCCCCAGGTGATGGCTAGTCATTTGCTGTCTTTGTAGTCTTACCTTTACCAGAGTGGCAGATAGTTACAGTCATATAGTATGTAACTTCCAGACTGGCTCCTTTGATTTAATATGCATTTGAGTTTCTCCATTTCATCTTAAAACATGTTCTACTGTTCTGGCATATTGAGAGCCATACACAGTACCTGTGCACTGGGTCCTCATGGTTCACAGACGTCTCCCCAACAGGAAAGAGATCTTAGGGGCAAAGGCCAGGCATATGCCCAGGTGACACACTCAGGATGCCAGACCATCCCTGTGACTTGGCATCTCAAGACTTAGGTCTCTGGAAGAGAGGGGACATGTTTGAAACCTGAAGAGGGATTCCTGGAGTGTTTCTCTCTGGGCAGAAGCCATCCAGGTAAACAGAGCATCATTTGCTCTCTGAACCTTAAAGCTCTATGAAATTAGAATGACAGGTCTTAGAGGAGCTAAGCTGTGTAAGCTTTTGCATGTGAGTCAGAATGTATTCCTAATGCTGTTTTTCTTGGTGGCCAAAGAAAAAAAGCCCAGCAAAACATCTTTCTCAGCTCTGAAATGTGGCTACTGTTTTTATCCTGAACAATTTTTTGATAAGGTAATCTCAGTTAAACAGGCTTGGATACAGAGTACTTCTGAAGCTGGGCACAAGTGACTCACAACTTTAATCCTATCTACTAAGGATACTGAGATCTAAGGATCACAGTTCAGAGCCAGCATGTTCAGGAGAGTTCATGAAACCTTTATATCCAGTTCACCAAAAAAAAAAAGAGCTGTGGCTCAAGTGGTAGATTCTTAGCCTTGAATGAAAAATCTAAAGGACAGCACACAGGCCCTGAGTTTATACAATACTACCAGCACAAAAAGGAGGGAGGGAGGAAGGGAAGGAAGGGAAGGAAGGAAGGAAGGAAAGAAAAAAAAAACACCTCTGTTTCATAACAGAGCCTTGGAATGTTCTAGTAACTGTTGTGTTATATGTTTGCAGAGCTTCTCGAAACAAGTCTGAGAAGAAGCGTCGAGACCAGTTCAATGTTCTTATCAAAGAGCTCAGCTCCATGCTCCCTGGCAATACACGGAAAATGGACAAAACTACTGTGCTGGAGAAGGTCATTGGGTTTTTGCAGAAACACAATGGTAAATGTTGAGCTTCTGTCTGGTTTTATTCTACCTTGACCTACACCTTTCCATGGGGTGCTGACCTCATCAGGCAGCTCTTCCAGTTGAGCCTCTCCCTAGAGAGAGATCCTCCCTTTGGTCACAAGCTTCCCAGTCAAAGACCTCCACAATAGTCCCAGGTCCAGCAAGTTGAGGAGAAGATTTATATTCTATGTTCTTTGTTGTGTGTATGCCAATGCTGGGGTTTCATCTTGGGGACTGGATGCCATTCCTTAGCATTTTCATTCAAAGCTAGTGTGCTAAAACTTGAGCCACAGCTCTACTTTTGGCTTTTTGGTAGTTAATTGGAGTTAAGAATCTCAGGGACTTTCTTGCTCAGGCTGACTTTGAACTACAGTCCTAAGATCACAGCTTCCTCAGTAGCTAGGATTACAGGTGTGAGCCACCAGTGCCCAGCATCAGATTCTTTATCAGCCTAAAGAGAGAGTTCAGAGCAGCCTCACAGTGATCCTCAGCCCAAGCAGGTACCATTCACCATGGTTGCAATCTTCATGAGAAATCCCTGGAACAGGCCAGCGTCAAAACCCAGGACACTGACAGCTCATGTTTACAGTCCTCAGAATCAACATGAAAAGTCAGCCTTGGCAGGAAAGTCCATGAGACTTTTATCTCTAATTAGCCAGCAAAAGCTCGAATTGGAGGTATGGCTCAAGTAATAGAGCCGAGCCTTGAGCAAAATAACTAAGGAGTGGCACTTAGACCCTGAGTTGAAGAAGCCCCAGTACTGGCATACCACACACATGCATGTGCACACACACATGCACATGCATAAACACACAAAGCTTCCCCAATAGCTGTCTCTTCCTGTCTACTTCTACTTTGCCTGAACTTAACTGTCCTGACTCCCACTACCAGACATTGGTTTTACCTCTTGAAATCTTAGAATTATGACTCAATCATGTTCTTCCAGTGCCTGGCTAGTTCATTTCTATATGCAGATTCCATTCCCTTTTATGTAGTTACCACTGGGAGCCATCCTTAAACTTGTTCTCTCCCAAACCCTTTGGCTCTTAAGTTCTGAGCAACCCTGCCTTGCCATTTCCCTTGAGTGGTACCAAATAATAAGTCACAACAGTGAAGAGGGTTCAGGAGCAATTCACAAGCAGGAAGAACAGAATTCTTTTTGCCCTAACCTTGAAAGAAAACATAATAAAGTCAGAAATGTCAGATCCATTAAGGAAGTAATTACAGTTTCTCCTTTCCTATGTGCTCATAATTATGTTTGGTGTGCCACCCCCTCCTCCAGAACATTGTCTTAGACAAGATGATTTCATGTCTACTCAGGAAGAGGACACTGCTGGGACATGGGAAAGTTGCATTATTTATGTCATTCTTTTATTATTTCTTTGATAATTGTATATACCTATTAATAATATGACAGCAATAATAGATCCTCCTTTTGTTTTCTTACAAAACTACCCAAGGAACATGTTAATTACTTTTATTAAAAGTCAGGGGAGACCAGATAAGTGGGATTAGAATTAAGTGTTGCAGCAATATTCAGGTGCTCTGATAATTTAATCAGAATGATTCTATTTCCTAAATAATGATTTAACCAAGTGAAATAGCAGGTCACTTTGATTGCCAAGGTATTTTGTGCCAATTACTCAAACTAGGTCAGTGCCACAGAGAAACAGGACAGCTGGGATCAAGTTCATCCGTGTGACATTTATGCTGGGGTCTGTCCTCTGTGGAATTACAGAATTGTCAAATCTGGACCCCAGAAAAGACAGGTCAGCAGAAATGCAGCCTCCTGAACCCAGGAGGGCCTAGGTAGTCTCACTTTTTTTTTAGAATATGAAGGCCAGCACTGAACAACCTACTTAAACACCATTGGGGTCACTTCAGGACCTCGTTCATGTCTGGATGCCCAACTCAGACCGCAATGGAAAATCCATGTAGAAATGATTGATTGAACAAAAATTTGGCTTAAAGTAGAAAAACCAATACAGCTACAATTGATGTCCTCCCCCATAGGTGTGATTCCCACTGGCAAATGAGCACGGCGAAGGAAAGTGAGGCCCAGCATTTATTCATGGTACCTGTGAGCCATGTACAGTGCGAGGACTCTAAACATCATGGCAGCATTTTAATCTAGTCCCAGGGGACAGATGAAGCAACTGAGACACATGTCACTCAGGAAGATATGATGTCTAAACCCAGCAACCTGGCTACAGAGGCCTGTTTTCACACCCCCCATCTAAGATGTATGGGACTCGTACAAATGTTCGTATCATAGCTGTGTTTAGCCATACGTTAGTGGATTTATTTCTTTTCCGCATTGGCTGCCATCAGAATCAACCAAGGAGTTAAAAAAATAGATTTAGCCTAACACTGATGGCTAATCCCAGATACTCAGGAGGCTGAGATCTGAGGATGGAGGTTCAAAGCCAGCCCAGGCAGGACTGTCTATAAGATTCATATCTCCAATTAACCAGCAAAAATCCACAGGTGAAACTGTGGATCCAGTGGTAGAGGATCAGCTTCAGCTAAAAAGCTATAGGATAGCATCCAGGCCCTAAGTTCAAGCCCTAGTACCAGCAAAATATATACATATATACATACATACATACATACATACAAACTGGTACCACCCATGGATCAATGCAGCAGACTCTTTGGAGCAATGTACTGGAGTTAGCTTGTGCCAGTTTAAGATAAGATTGCTAAATTTTTAGGAGTTTTGCAAGCCAGTTGACATCAAGTTAATACGTTGAAACCGCATGGAAGAGTATTTCCACAGAAATGGGCAAACATTTCAGATCCAGGACACTTGTTGGGGGTAAAGCTTTTACCAGGCCTGAGCATTTTTCTGTGATCGATCTGGGGCTTGAACTCAGGGCATTATGCGCTTGCTTGGCTTTTTTGTTCAAGGCTGACACTTTACTACTTGAGCCACATTTCCACTTTTGTCATTTTGCTGATTAATTGGAAATAAGAGATTCACAGACTTTTGTGTCCAGGCTGGCTTTAAGCCAGGATCCTCAGATTTCAGCTTCCTGAGTAGCTGGTATGAGCCACCAGCACCTGGCTTCTTCCTTCTTTCCTTCCTTCCTTCCTTCCTTCCTTCCTTTTCTTTTCTTTTCTTTTTTTCCTTCTTTCTATGCCATTACTGAGGCTTGAACTCAAGGCCTCGACACTGTCCCTTTTTTGTTTAAGGCTAATGCTCTACCACTTGAGCCCCAGCTCCACTTCCAACTTTTTTCTGGTGAATTGAAGATAAAAATTTCATGGACTTTCTTGCCTGGGCTGGCTTTGAAATGTGACCCTCAGACCTCAGCCTCCTGAGCAGCTAGGATTGCAAGTGTGAGCCACCAGTGCCCAGCTACATCAGTATTTTTAATGTTCCCCAAGTCATTCTCATGTGCAGCTAGGGTTGAGGAGTTCAGATTCAGTCATGCTTCCTACCTTCAAGCTAAAGTTAGACCACAGGATAAGTAACATCAACTAGGTCCACATTCGTGTTTGAATTATTTCGTTCTTTCTTCATTTTTCCAAGCTTTCCTATTTTCTCAGATTGTGAGCCAAATCTTGATCCTAGAATGTATCTTTATTCTCTTTTAAGTAATCCAAATTAAAATAAGAACCTGACCATTTTTTTCATAGTGAGATATCATATCAACCCAATCTTTTATAAGAGACCACTACCTAGATAATTAGAATATGGAACATCTTTGTCTATGTCCATCAGAATGCTAATTCTACCAGACAAGGCTAACCAAACCTTGTCCTCTTTCTGTGTTGAGTATCAAGCTAAGAGAAATATTAATCCACATCAAGTTCTGTTGTTCCGCTTGCCTCTTCAGTGTGTCTGCCTTCATAGATGAGGGAGAGATGGGGTGGAGAAGGTCATAGAACAAGGAGATGTACTCTTACCATGGCTGCTTTCAATCTTGGACTGGGTAACCAGCTGTTGTGTTTCTTTTGCATTTTCCAGGCTTTTCTGTGACCATATACAGCCCAAATATGTTCTGTTCAGGCACACAAGAAGCAATCAGTTGGTGAGCAATCTGTTACTAGAAGTTACACAACAGCAGAACAGGGAAGGGGGTACTGGCTGTTAATTGCAGTGTTTTCTTATGGTTCTCAGTTAGTTTGGTTGCCCTTGATGTTTAGAAAAACACTGTGATCACATCTCATTGCTTAGTCTCCCCTCCCCCCTCCCCACCTGTGGCGTATCTGTAATGACAACCATCAGTGGAGATGTGATTGAAACCCTGACTTTTATTTCCCAGTATGACAGAATTTACTTCCTTTGAGATAGCTTATCTCATTTATGTACTTTCTATGTTCTATGAATTGAGCCTTTCAAGGACTGAAATCAAATTGTTGAAACACAAAGTGAATGAAATGGCAGTTTTCAGTAATGTCGTGCTAGTGTTGAGAAGTAGCTGGTCATAGAAATGATTTGAAGGTTACTTATATCAAGGCATTTTTGATCTTTCATTTTCCCTTCATCATTAAGTTGAATGGACCTCTATCTAAATGAAATTTGAAAGGCTGCCAGAAAGACTCCTTTCCCAAACAATCCAGTCTATTCCTACCACTCAGAAGAGCTTTTAACATGACTGTGTTAGGGAGAAGGAAGAAAGCATTTATGGGTCCATCCCTTTTCTAAGTGGTCAAACTGTGGTAATTATTTATGTAGCCTGACTCCCTTACCCCAAGATAAACTGGGACCAAGATTTGTAGTGCCATGTCCTGCTTCCCAGCATGCATTTTGCCACATGTATCATGGCACCCAGCAGTAAGCCCAACACACTGGTTCTCACTGGACTGCCTGCCTGACAAGTTTGTAGCACCTCATTTGTAGTCCTTAAAAATCACATAGGACTAAAGGTCCAATTTTGTGTTAACAGCAGCAGGAATTTGTTCTTTTAGACATCTAGAAGGAAGAAACTTATCAGAAGAGCCTGGCATTGACTAGAACATGGGTAGAAGATAGAATGAGGTTTAGAGTCTCTCAGCCCTACACACCACCATCTTTCTTCACAAGCAACTGCTGACTTCTTTCAGATCATTCATTGAGATAGCCGAGTTCATTTTTATGCACCCCATAAGGGCAATTCTCAAACCTAGAGGTGTAGACACTGTGATTATAGCTTAGTGGCAGAGCACATGTTTAGCACTCATAGAGACTTGGATTCAATGCCAAGCACTTCAAATAAGTGTTACATTGGATAGTTTGTCTACCTGAAAAATTTGCCTTCTCCAGAAACTTAATAGGTTAGTTTTATTTTAATCTATCAAAACAATTATAAGTCGAATTTTCTTATGGTTTTGTCAGTATTAAGAAACTAATACCTAGAAAGTGTTTTGTTGTTTTTTTTTTGGGTCCGGTCGTGGGGTCTGAACTCTGGGCCTGGTGCTGTCCCTCAGCTCTTCAGCTCAAGGCTAGCACTCTACCACTTGAGCCACAGCGCCACTTCTGGCTTTTTTTTCTGCTTATGTGGTGCTGAGGAATCGAACCCAGGGCCTCATGCATGCAAGGCAAGCGCCTCTACCACTGAGCTACCTTCCCAGCCCTAGAAAGTGGTTTTGCCATATAACGTAGATAAAAATGTTGGCTTAATATGGAGGCCATACAAATAATTATGAATATCGCATTTGCACACACTGTAATAATTTTATCAGAGATAAAGTAAATTAAACCAAGCCAGGTGCTGGTAGCTTATACTTATAGTCCTAGCTTCTCTGTAGGTTGAGATCTGAGGATCAAGGTTCAAATCAGTCAAGGCAGAAAAGTCTATGGATATTCTTGTCTTCAGTTAACCAGCAAAAAGCCAGAAGTGGAGCTGTGGCTCAAATAGTGAAGTGCCAGACTTGAGTATAAAAGCCTAGACACAGCTCTCAGACCCTGAGTTCAAGACCAAGTACCAGCATTTTTAAAAAGGGTAGAATAAGCCATATTTGAAAAATGAAAGTTATATAATATTTGAGTCCTGTCTAACCCAGTGGTTATTGAATTAATAAATGTGAATAATGTCTCAGTGTAAGATAGTTATGTGAAATGGTATACTATAGATTAACAACAAGAAATATGTCTTGAGAACAGTAAGGTTGGGTCTTCAACAGAACCTTTGGGCCGTGGTTGTAGATTAATTAATAATAGGGCACTTGTCTAGCATGTGTGAGGCCCTAGGTTCTATCCCCAACACCTCAGAAAGAAGCAAAAAAATCTCAAACAAAACCTCAAGTAATGAGTATTTTGTATAATACATTATTGTTCAGTAATGGAAATGATGGAAAAAGTCATTCTTTTCTAATAAACAGGTTATTTAGTATAAGCCTATGATGATTCTGGAATTTTGGGCATGAAGTTATAGGGGCAGGGGACCGTGACTGGAGCATTCACTGGACCACTGACTTTCACCCTTTAGGACTTCTGAAAACCCAGATCTCTGAAGTATTTTTGCCTTAACCATGAAGAAGTCGCCGGTCCCAGTCTTCATTCCTGTTGCTTTGATAGGTGGCACCTATTTGATGCCAGTTGCTGCTGCTGAGACTTGGTTGTGTAGGAATTCAAGGGCATTATGCCTCTATCAGTGGCAGGTGTTATGCCCATGCTGAGGTATTCTATCTTCCTTCATTAAAGGGGTGTAAAAATACTTTTTAAAATGTTTTTAGCTATGTGCCAGTGGCTAACGCCTATAATCCCAGCTACTCAGGAGACTCAGCTCTGAGGATCATGCTTGGTCAGAAAAGTCTGTGAAACTCTTACCACAATTAATCACAAAAAGCCAAAAGTGGAGGCATGGCGTAAGTGGTAAAGTGCCAGCCTTGAGTGAAGAAGCTAAGCAAAGAACTGAAGGCCCTGAGTTCAAGCCTCAGTACCAACATGCCCGCATACCATACGTGCGCGTGCACGTGCATGCGTACACGTGCGCGTGCACACACAAACACATACATGCACACATGCACAAACACAAATGAAATTAACAAAAAGTGTATTTAAGCCCATTGTAACCAAAGTTCCCAGTCTTCAGACATCAGGATAATATATTTCCTTGTATTAGTTTAATTATTGCATTGAAGTTTACACAAAAGTAACAGAAGTAATATGCACTTCATTGGTAAGTTCCAAGTCCTAGTTGCCTTTGAACATAAGTTTGTATGTTTTTCTTTTTCTGTAGAAGTCTCAGCACAAACGGAAATCTGCGACATTCAGCAAGATTGGAAGCCTTCATTCCTCAGTAATGAAGAATTCACCCAGCTGATGTTGGAGGTGAAATGTACTTTCACATTATTAACTTACAAAGTACTCGTCATTAGACCTTGTGCCCAGAGGAAGAGCTGTTCTGGACCTGGGAAGGAGGTCTTGAACTAGATATTGGCCTGAGGTTTTGCCTGCTCTTGTTTATACATATGGAGTTAGGGTACCATAAAAGCAAAAATCTCGAGTGAAATGTGGTTGTGTTAGCTCCCCTTTTTACTACAGGACACCTGGTTCAGGAGCTGAGTAGAAACAAAACAAGTCTTTTCTGAAAGTTACGCTTTTAACTTCAGCTCCTATTATTTCAAATGACCTGTGAGTATCAATCACAGTGATCAGTGTCTATGCCCTTGCCATGGCAAGATACCCAGGCTTTATCCTCTGGATCAAGTGCCAGGTTCATAGGGCTGGATTTGTGAAAACCTCCTCCAGTATCCTTGTATTTACGTGTGGCTAAAAGCCCTTGGTACAGGTGAGGACCAGTCTCTGTAAAGCATCTGGCAGAGTACTCTGACTTCCAAGGGGAAAGAACAGAGGGCTTTGGATATGACCCTGTGGGAAGAGAAGCCTGATCCATAGCAAGTCCAGGCCCTTGACCCAAGAGAGCCTGGAGAGGTGAGATTAGTAAAATAAAGTTCATCACAGTTCATACAATGAGCAACTCTGGATAGGGTTTCCAGAGAGTGGCTTCTTAGGATAAATCTTTCTATAGCTTACCCATGTGTCTATATAAGGCTGGTGTAAACTTTAATTTACATAGATTAACATGCAGAAAACAGAAAGTACTGGAATAAGAAAATGCCAGAATAAAGATGTCTAAATATTATGAAATATAAATGCATTAATGAACATTTGCATAAAATGAGAGATACTTAGCTCTACATAGGAACTATATTTAAAGAAAATAGAGAACTTTCTGCAGAAGCAATGCATTTTAAGTATGTTAAATTTAAAGCAGCTTGTGAAATATAATGTTAAATTAATGCATCATTATGCTACCTTATATACATGGATTTATCTTTTAATTCGTGTGGAAAGGTAGTTAAAACATATAATCATGTTGTATAAAATACTTGTGTGTGTGTGTGTGTGTGTGTGTGTGTTTTACTGGTTTTTGAACTCAGAGCTTTGTGCTTGCTAAGCAAGTACTCTATCACTGACCCATATCTCCAGCCAGTTTTTGTGTTGGTTATTTTTTTAAGAGCAGTGACATAATTTAATGCATATCTAAAAGCATTTTCATTTCATTAGGAGCAAGAGTTATGGTCATAAATTGCCCATGCTATTTTCAGCCTAAATACATATTTTCCAGCTTTCTATGCTAATTGTTTTTATGATAGGTTCTTCCTGCACAGACAGATGCCTGAACCTTGAGCCATCTATTTAACATCCCATCATAGCTGAGATGACAGGCTTGTGCCACCATATCCATCATCTTCCAAGGAGATGACGTCACATAGACTTTCCTGCCTGAACTAACCTAGAACAATTGTTCTTCCTGTTTTCAGCCTCCCAAGTAGCTGGGATTGTAACTTTGAGCCGCTGGCGCTTAGCAGTAGGCAGCTTTTAATAAGCCTATAAGCAGAATCTTTTTGTTGTTTCTTGTGAGTGTTAAAGTATCAAATGAATCTGAGGAACAAGGCTTTTATGAAGTTAAAAACTGATCAATTTATCGCCTGGAAAATGGGACTGAAATTTAGGAGACTGGAACTTCTATACAGAGACTTTTGATTAAGGAAAATCTTAATGCACCTGTATAGAGTCCTTGAAGTAAATAGAGAGGAAGTGTCACTCGATGAGTGAACTAGGCCAGAATTAAAGCCTATCTGACCAATAGGCCTTGTCTCTGAATTGCAGCTCCAAGTTGTTAAACTACCAGCTAATAGTTGACTTAGATCTGCTTATGCTTCTGTTCTAACCTGTTGCTCTTCAGTTGACAAAGACCTGGTGTTGAGTGACCAGAACCTTCTGGCTTCTCCTCCCTGATGGCTTGAGCTGCCCCTCCACACATATGGGGTCTCTATAAGAATAATGTCATCAGTTTCCACAGTGTAGCTTCTCTACAATGCAGGTCCCATTCCAGATGCACATGACCTTGTGGGTGTGTGTGTGTGTGCGCGCTTGCGTGCACATGTGTGCATACATGCATGTGTGCTGACACTAGGTCTTCGACTCAAAACCTCTATGCTATCCCTGAACGTTTACACTTGAGTCTGGTATTCTACCACTTGAACCACAGCTTCCAACTTTTTGGTGGTTAATTGGAGATAAGAGTCTCACTGACTTCTGCCCAGGCTCCCTTTGAACCATGATCCTCAGATCTCAGCTCCCTGAGTAGCAAGAGTTATAGGCGTGAGCCGCTGGCACCAGGGTGCCTCTCCTCTTTCTAGATGCATTTCCTGAGGACCTCATGAGAACGTAGGGATCCAGACACCAGTCCTTATAACCAGGAGTTTCTCTTTATCCAATGGAGATGGAACTCACACTTCCAGGGAACCATGTCCCCAGGCATGAACGTGCCTTTCCACCTTTTTCTCTGAGATTGCACAAAATCAGACATCAGTGTAAAGGAACAGAATGACTGTTGCAGATCAGAGAGTGGAGACTGTAGTCACAAGACTCAAAAAGGAGAGGAGTGACTTGAACGGAGGGAAAGCTCTTGTTGACTGGGAACTGGAAAGGCCATACTATCTCTGCATTTTTATCTAGAAATGCTACATCAATCCTTTCTCTTGGCCCAGAGGCTATTCCCCCCTCCAAAAAAAAACCCCATCAAGAAATGCCCATCATAAATTGGGAATTGTGGAAAGGGAAGGTTTTAGTTTTCTCTGGCTAGTGGCAAGTATAAAATTCTAGAACCGGTCAGAATCAACTTTACCTACATGGCTGTGCAGTTACCTGCTGTTGACTTTCGCTTGGGTGCCGTTGGGGCCGGGGAGGGCGGGGGTATGTTTGAAGCTATGGCAAGAGACAAGCATGCTTAACACAGTGACTCACTTCGGTTCTTATATGTGTGATGGGAAATGTCACTGAGCTAATGAATGTGATCTTCCCTCTATAAATACTTCAGCTTTTTAAATATCTACTTGCCTGACAAATTGAAGAAGGACATGGGCTCACTGTGCAGAAAGACTGATGATTCAACTCCTACTTTGTCCAGCTTTCTGATCTGCCTTTTTCCAGAAAGCTCCAGCCGACGTCCTTAACAGCACCTCCACACACCTTACAAACATTCACTTCAGGAAAAGTTGCAAATAGTGGGGAATAGAATAGTGGTTTCTGGAAGCCAGGGAATGAAAGGAGGGCAGAGGATCTAAGAAGGCCAATGGGTGGGTGCTAGGGTACAGTAGGGCAGGGAGACCCAGTGTGATCCAGTACACTAGGGTGACTATAGATAATGATAATGTTTTGCGCATTTCAAAAAGTTAGAAGAAAGGATTTTTCATGCTTCCTCCATAAAGCAATGCTGAATGTTTGAAGGGACAGAAGTTTAACTCGATTTAAACATATTACACAATATATACATGTATCAAAATGTCAGAGGCTGGATGCTAGAGGCTCACACCTGTAATCCTAACTACTCAGAAGCCAAATCTGAAAATCAAAGTTCAAAGCCAGTCTTGGGTAGACAAATCCTCTAGATGCTTATTTCTAATTAACTAGCGAAAAGCTGCAAGTGGAAGTGTAGCTCAAGTTGAAGAGCTTCAGTTTTGAGCTGAGCAAGAGCAAGAGACCCTGAATTCAAGGCCTGGTACTAGCACACATAAAAAATAAAACATTATGAGTACTCCATAAATATGTCTAATTTTTTTTGCTTTTGTGCAGCTATTAAAAATAAATTTATAAAAAATACATTCAGAAAAAAAGAACAAGGGGGAAAAAAAGGAAGTGAAAGTTACTAGAATAGTCTTTCTTGGTCATCACAGCCCATAAATCTAATTCAGAGTTCCTCAACCTGACTGACAGTTGGAGCTCTTCTGTACAGTGTGAGATGTTTTGTAGCATCTCTGACCCTTCCCACTAGGTGAAAGCACCACCCATCCATTAATGAGAACCAAAACTGTCTGCACACATTGCCCCGTTGATGAGAAATATGCTTTATGCCAGGTGCTGGTGGCTCATACCTGAAATCTTAGCTACTTGGGAGGTTCAAGTTGTTGGTATCAAGTATCAAGGCTAGCCCAGGCAGAAAAATAGGCTCAAGACCCCTTCTCAGTGTAGAACTAGATATGGTACTGGTTTTCTAGCTACTTAGAAGTTTATCATGGGTGGATGTTGCCTAGGCAGACTCCCAGGAAGGAAGCAAGACCCCCATCTGGAAAATAAGCAGTAAAAATTAGAGCCGGTGGCATGGCTCCATGGTAAGAGCTCTGATACACAAAGCACAAAGCCATAGGAAGAAAGGGAGGGAAGGGGGAAGGGATGTGCTTTAGACTAGGTATAGTGGCACAACTGCTTGGAGTGAAATACTGAGAAGATCATGGTTCAAGGCAAGGCCAGCCCTGTCATAAAAGAAAGACCATCTGAAAAGTAAAGCAAAAAGAAGAGGTGTGGATGAAGTGATAGAGCACCTGCCAAGCAAGAATGAGGTCCTGAGTATAAATCCTAGTACCATCAGGGGAAAAATAATGTTTGTAAGCTAGGCACCAGCTGTGAGCAGAAATAAGAGCATGAAGCTAGAGTTCAAGCCCCAGTACAGGCATGCACACAAATGTGTTTTTTTCAGTCTTAAATCCAAGCCAATATAAAATAATACATGAGACTACTGTCAGTTTTCCTGCAGGGAAGCTCCCCCCACATGTCGGTATGCAGTAAAGCTGTCCTTCCTTCCGTCAGTACTGTAAGAGGACTATTCTGGCTCTGACGGCCTTACACCCTCCAGACTTCAAAGAATCAATGCTCTTTTGCCCAGGCAGATTCTCAGCTGCACCCTGGCAGGATTTAGTTGAAGACATGTGAAATGTTGCCAGAGCTTGCTAAGCACATAGTTCATTCTTTTTTCTCAGATTAGGAGATGCAACTGTTTTGAAACAGTGACCTGACAGTGCCAGGAGCACAGTGGATGTCACCTGACCACATGCATTCTTCCCGCAAAGATCTGCTTTCTGGAGAGGTTAAGCTGTGTTTTTAATCTCTTCCATCTCACTGGAGCTCTGCAGACAGCCAGTTGCTAGTGAGACCTGTTCTCTGATGAATCACACAGTTTGCATTTTAGAAATCAGCTCTGAGATGTGTCTTTCTAAAAGCATTATGAGCATCCATATGAAAATACATTGTCACAGTTCTTACCAGTAACTCATGCCTGTAATCCCAACTACTAGAGACTGAGACTTAGAGGATCAGGGTTCAAGGCTGGCCTGGGAAGAAAAGCCTGCAAGGCTCTACCTTAGAAATAACCAGCAAGGTATGGCTCAGGTGGCAGAGTACCAGCCATAAGGGAACAAGCCAAGCAAGCCCAGGGTCCTGAGTTCAAGCTCCAGTACTAGCATTCATATACATACACACATTTCATGAAGTCTCAGCAAATACTTAAAACATTGAAAGTGTGTGCCTTGTGAGAAATCAGTGTTCACATCGTTCTTGTAGTTTTTGAGTATTCAGGGCCATGTGCTTAGTATATAGTCTAAAGATGTCTTAGATATCTAAGGTGTATAAATATGTTTTTTCACAATTCCAGAAATGTTTGTTTGTCTAGTTGTGTTATAAAACATCTACCCCCTACCCAGAATTTTTATTTTCCTTTGATAGTACTGGGGTTTGAACTCAGGGCTTCATACTTACAATCAAGTGTTCTGCCACTTAAATTACACAGCCCTTTTTTGCTCTTGTTATTTTTCTTTTAGGATCAGTTTTTGGTCCAGGATGATCTGGATTGTGATCCCCCTATTTATACTTACCACGTAGCTAGGATTACAGGCATGAACCACCATGCCCAGCTGTGAATGTTCTTTTTTTTTTCCTGATCCTGGGCCTGGGTGCTGTCCCTGAGCTGAGCCTTGAGACTCTTTGTGCTCAAGACTAGCATTCTACCACTTGAGCCATAGTACCATTCCAACTTTTTCTGAGTAGTTTATTGGAGATAAGAGTCTTATAACCTTTACTTCCTGGGCTGGCTTCAAACCAAAACCCTCAGATCTCAGCCTCCTGAGTAGCTAGAATTACTGGCATGAACCCAGGACCTGGCTGTGAATGTCCTTTATTAATGATTCTTTCAATAGCAGTTTCTTTTGTGGCAGCAAATGCAAGCAAGAAGTCTCCCTTGGCTAACAGACATACTGTCTGTAAGGCATTCATTTGCTCTTATATTTTGCAGAAAATGTTACTGAGGAATTCAGGACTGTTACGTGTTATCTGGGCTACAGGGATGGGGACCCGACCATACTACTGATGCCTCTTAATGATGACAGTGATCTTTCTGACTCAGTCAAGTAATGTGACTAGTATGAAAGCTACTTAAGTAGGTTCTGTGAGACCAGTTAGGTCAGCTCTGTCCCTCAGCCTATCCTGCTTTTGCAAGCATAACAAAACATCCTGTACATGTGGCAGAAGAGTGTTGTGGGGCTATTCATGGAAATATTGTAAAGATTATCGAACAGAGCTAGGTCATCAGATGGGTCCTTTGCTTCAATGCCATCTGCTCTGGGAAGGCATCATTAAGGAGATTTCAACTGTTGCATCTTCCACAGGCATTAGACGGCTTCATTATCGCAGTGACCACGGACGGCAGCATCATCTATGTTTCTGATAGTATCACACCTCTCCTCGGCCACTTACCGGTGAGTTTCTGCTCTAGAGAACCTGCCAGCTCACTTTTTCTTTTTTGTGTGTGTGGAGAATCATTCAGGTCTCCGGTTGGAGGTGGGACAGGTTTGGGGAGGTATGTGTGAAAAGGGAATTCAGATCCTCCTTGGTGTCGGAGTACTGAAGGCCCAAACTAGGCAAAGCCCAAGGTCCTAGGGCAGACAAAGGGCAGGAGCAGGCATGTATTACACTGGGACAGCCAGGGCATCAGGATCTCTGCAAGCCAAGGCTTGTAGAGTACAGACATGAAACCAGAGTCCAGAGATCACCCAGAGCCACAGCACCGTGAGCTGAGCTCAGAGACAACTGAGACCTGACGGAGGAATGGGCAACAGAGAGCTCAGAGTGGAGCTCTCAGAGACGTGGCTGAGATTGCACGCAGGCTGCCGCACTCATCGTCATGAGGGTATAGCAGCACAGATAACTTCCTGAGAGTTAAAATGTTTTGGGAAGACACGTTGAACTAACCTCTTGGAAGGCCTTAGGGGTGATCAGGGATTGGGCAGGCCAGGAGGTGAGGACCAGCTCTGCAGTCCAGGCTTGGGAGGTGGTGACAGATGTTGACAGATGTCTGTCCCAACAGGTATATATGTCTCTTTCCTTCTCTCTTCTCTCTTCCTTCTTCTCTACCTCCTTTTCCTTTCCTTTCAGTTCTCCCTGGTAACCCTGGGCTCAGGATGGTATGACCAACTCACAGATCAGTGCCACTCTAGTACAGGACATATCCTTGAAGGCCCCTCTCCCACGTCCTCCCACACCATCATTGATTCCTACAGAACCTGATCTTGAATGTCAGCCCCACCAGCAGCATTGCATGGGGTGGATAAACATTCTCTCTCATCTGTTCTTCCATCCACCCCAGCAACTCCTCACCCTGCACACAAGGCATAGGTGGCCAGTTCATGTGATGAGGGGGGTGATAGCTTGCCCTGGGTTCACACATAAAGACAATGGGGGTCTGCGGTTCCCTTCCCTTATCCACACCTGCCTGAGCAGCAACATGGCTTGCCTTGTGGGCAGCTTCTTTCTACCTTAGCACTCTGCTCTCCTGAGGGTCCCGGGTACATCCATTCCTTGCTTTCCTCTACTCCAGTCCATCTTTCTGCAAATGGTGTCGTGTGCACACAGATCTGCCACTCAGAACAATCACTGTACCTAGGCAGATACCTTCCCATTATACCATAGTCTATCCTTCAGGTCTCACCTTTGTGTTTCAGCCCACCTCCTGAAGCCCGGGTGCACCAGGCTGACAGAGGTGTCTCTATGCCTTGTGACAGTGGCTAGAAGAGGCTCCTTCTCATCCCAGAGAAGGCCAAGGTCCCCTATGCCTTGATTGTAGCAGAGACCATGAGGAGGATAGTCATGGGGCAGATGTGACCCCTGTCTTCAGCATGGCTTCTTGGGCCTCAACTGAGGACATCTAGAGAAAGGAGGGAAGTTCAGTGGCTCTCCAGAGGGAGCTTGTGTTCTGCTTTGAAGGGATAAAATTGGAGTGATGGGCCCTGATGGAAAACTACTAAATGTGCTGTGTCCCCTGACCAGGAAGGGGACACAGAGCAGAGTCATTTGGTATGCAGGAGCGCACTGTTCTGCATTATGCTCTTACAGTTATCTGACCCTTTGCCATAAACAGTGGAAAGTACGATGGGCATTCTTACGACTTGAAATTATGAAGCCATTCAGGACTATGTTTATAGATTGTTCTCTGAGTCTGAAAGGATCAGAAATGATCTGTACTCTGAACTTACTAATGCTAGACTCATTTGAATACTTCTTAAGTATCTACACAGAGACCCACGGTAGACACACACACAACTTGGCAGCCCTGAACTCCTAAGAGAAGTATGCCGCAGCTTGGGCCATGCTGAAATCTAACTTCAATTTACTGCTAGTTTTTATTGCCTACTACTTACCAGGGTGGTCTTTTGCAAGTGGGTGGAAACTTCCCTGCGTCCAGCAGCATATAGCACACAGCTGGGTGATCTGGGAGTCATACCTCTGTTGCTTCTCCTCTTTTCAAGAAAGCTCCAGAGTCCCATCTAGCAACGTCAAGGCAGGGCTCAGAGCAGGGGCAGCTCTACAGGGCCCAGGATGGTCTGACGTCTTCCTAACACCATAGGTAGCATTCTGTTTCTAGTTCAGTTGGCTCCAGTTTGTATGTACTCATTCTTCAGTGTGAACCCAGGATCTTGCCACAGAGGACATATTGCATGTCCAAAAGCCCTGTGATTTGTCTTTTCCTTCAAGGGTTGCACTTTGGCTTAAATTCTACCCACCCAACCATTAGTGTCTAACCCTGAGTGCATACTGGGCATCAGTCATCCTTAAGACTCACTTGCAGCTGGGTGCCAGTAGCTCATGCCTATAATCCTAGCAACTCAGGAGGCTCAGATCTGAAAATAGCAGCCCAGTCAGGAAAGCCTATGAGACTTGTATCTCCAATTAACCACCAAAAAGCCAGAAGTGGAAGTATGGCACCAGTGGTAGAACGCCATCCTTGAGAGAAATAGCTCAGGCACAGTGCTGCGGCCCTGAGTTCATGCCCAGTACTGGCACACACAAAAAGTAATTTCTATGTGTAAAAGCACTTGGAACAATGCCTTGCCCAGAGGGAGGGCTAGATCACACTTGCTTTCCTTGTCAATTGTTACAGATGAAGAATGGCAGTACAGAGAGGTTAAGTAATTTACTCAAGGATCCACAGCCAGCCAGGAATGGAGCTACCATATTAACTCAGTCATTTTGGCTGTAGTGCTTGGTGCTATACCACTCCTCGTAATGCTATAGAGGACTGAGTAAAGTTGTGGTGGGTGATTTGGAAGGGAGAGAATGAGGAGCTGAAAGATGGAGGCCAGTCTGTGGGAAAGGGTCGGCCTCTGGGACACAGGGTGGGCAGGGGACAGGAAGCTCTAACTCCCAGTAGCAGATCCTCAAGCATAGGCTGGCACACCCAGGCTCAGTCCCATCACCCCCTGTGTAGCTAGGGATGAGAAGGACATTGGGGATGGAGATATTAAAAAACAAAACAGAATTCAACTGCTATCAGAGACTGTCTGCCTTAAAGTCTCTCTGTTTCCACTATACTTCTAGACTCTCAGACCATGGGCTCATAGGATAGACTCCTCATAGATAGTCTCCTGAGGAGCTATCCCAGAATTTCTGTTCCCAGTTTGACCATGAACAGAAGAAACTAATGTGATTTTACAGTAAAAGCAGAGCTCTCCTCATTTGTCCCATCTTGCTGTCTATAATCAACAGACTTTCAAACGGAAATGAGAACAGGAGCTCAAAGGACTCCTGGGATGAGTTCCTCTCCGGAAGGATGAAAGGGAGTTGAGGCCTGGACAGAATTGTAAGCCTAGCCAGGCACTGGTAGCTAATCAAGATGCTGAGATCTAAGAATCACAGTTCAAGGCCAGCCCTGGCGGGAGAGCCCATGAGACTCTTACCTCTAGTAAACCCACTCTAAGAAGCCGGAAGTGAAGCTGCAGCTCAAGTGGTAGAGTGCTAACTTTGAATGAAAAAGCCAAATGAGGGCATGAAACCCAGAGTTTAAGATACACACACACAGTAAAAGGTAGACATGGTCTGTGTTTCATGTTCAGACATTTGTTATTTTTTTTAATTAGCATCCCAGATCCCCTTTCTGACTTGCTCATGAGAGTGATGTTTGCCTAATAAGAAGGACCAAAGCTCTAAAGGCAGAAATGATGTCTCTTGCCCTGAGCAAGTTCCTAAACATTAATTGAACAAGGGGATGGATTTGTAACTGGAGCTGCCACATTCCAAGCTACACATAGACACATACAGACACACACACACACAGAGTGGACCTGTGGATCGAGTTGTAGAGCACTAGACTGAGCAAAAAAGCTAAGGGACAATGCCCAGGCCCTGGGTTTAAGCCCCAGTATTGGCACCAAAAAAAAGTTAAGAAATAATGCTTCAAGATATTATCATACATGTAATGGATCAGATATATAAACTATCTTGTATTTTTTGTCAGTTTTGGGGCTTGAATTCAGGGCATGGGTGCTGTCTCTTAGCTTTTTCACTCAAGGCTAGTGGCTCTACCACTTGAACCACAGCTCCACTTCTGGTAATTAGCTGAAGATAGAGTCTCAGCCTGAGCTGACTTTGAACTGCAGTATCCACAGATTTCAACCTCCTGAGTAACTTACAGGTGTGAGCCAGTGGCACCTGCAGAGTGTATGTTGACGGTTTCCCACTGAATTTTGGGCCGTTCCTGGAATGACTGATAGATAGGCTGTCTTTCTCTGATCTGCTCTTCAGAGAAGTTTTGCTTTTATCACCTATTAGTCACCCCACTGTAAGGCAGTGAGCACATCCTAACATACAACACAGCACATAGGACAGGTAAGATTGACAGCAGGTCATGAGCCACACATTCTCAGCTTGCAAGAGAAGAAACAAAGCCTACCATACAGGTGTGCCCAGGGATGCACTTGGGAACAGGTGAACCAGCAAGGGCTGAGGGAGGTCAGCTTTGTTATAAAGAAACTGGACACTCCCTGGTTCCATGGAGGATGCGACTTGTGTGAATGACTCCACTGGCTGGGCAGAGGACTAAACTCTCTACTCAGGAATGGCTAGCCCGCCTCGTCCTGCTTTGAAGGAAGGTGTTTGGTGGGAACCCTGTCCCCCAAGGCAGAGTAGGCAAATTGTAGTTGGGCTCACTGACGCCTTCTCAAGGTGTTCCACAATATTGAACCTTCATTGTGAATTGTGGATCTTTACTATAGGCTGATGCATGCCCTCCCTATGTGGATACCCCTTCCCTTTCCAGGGTACTTTGATGACAGATACTTTTTCTTTATAGTTGGGATTTTGTATATTTAGTTAAGTCTTAACTACATCAAGTCAGAGTGATTCTCCTTTTGTCTTATGGGAGCTTGACCATCTGGCCTTCAGATTGATTTGAATTTCAGCTGAATGTAAGCATCTCAATCGTGCC